AAAAAAAAAAAAAAACCAATATCAAATCTTTAGGCTGGAGGAGACGAAGCTCTCAGCAAGAACAGTCAAGAAGTTATTGAGATGATCCAGAAAAAGTTTGCAAAAGGTCTGAGTTGAGCAGTATCAAAGAAAGGGAGATGAACAGATGGACTGAAGAGATAGCTAGTAGGTAAATTCAACAGAATTTGGAACCAGAGGAGCTGAGGGGGGCAGAGAGGGGAGATGAACAAGCTTGGCTTCTCTCATGCATTTAGCCTGAGTCACTGGATGGATGTTTGTTATCATCTACATGGATAGAAAATACAGAAGAGTTGGTTTTGGGAATGGGAAAGATGATAAATTCCGTTCAGTGCATATAAAGGTTGAGGTGCCTATGGGCCATAAAAACAGGAATATCCAGAAAGCGAGATAAGGTTTGAAGCTCCAAGAATGTATGAGATTAGCATATGTAATGACTATTGAAGCCCTAGGCAATGACAAAGTTGCTTAGAGAGATGTACAGGCAGTGGGAAGGGAAGGACGTGGAGGGTGAATCTTCAGAGAAAGAGGAAAAGAACCGTGTTAGGGAGACTTGGAAGGATCTGCTGGAGGGGAAGAGGAACACCACTGAGTGGGTGTCACAGAAGCAGAAGAAGGAAAAGCTTTCTAGAAATGATGCCAAGTTTGATAAGAAGTGAAATAGGACTGCAGCCTGTTAGGCCACTGGAGTCTGGTCTGGAAGAGTTTCCAGAAGCATGGTGGGGACAGAAGTCAGGTTTCAGAGGGGTGTAGAGTGTGTGGGGTGAAAGTGGGGTGAGAGACTTGGCCATGAAAGGCAGGAGAGAAATCTAGATAAGGAGAATATCAGATCATGTAATCTAAGGTTGTTTGTTTTTTGGTAGTTGTTTCAAGAGGTATGATCACGTGTGTGTGCTGAGGGAAAACTGCCAGGAAAAGATAAGTTGAAGACCTAAAGGAGAGAGTACATAACTGATAAATTAAGAGGTGAGGGTGGGGCTAGAGTCCAAAATTCAGGCAGAGAGATCCCTGGGAACAGGACAGGGGAGAGCCACTTTTCCTACCGAGAACAGAAAGAAAATAAAAAGCTATTACATTAACTGGAGGACTAAGAGATGGGGAAGAAAAGTTTGAGGAAGTCTTGGTGGGGTTGAAAAGTAGGTACAATGGGAGTAAGTGAATATGAGAGCTAGAAGGTGGGCTAGTGTAAGCAGAACATCAAATATTCTTAAGTCTTGGGGCTGAAGGTTTCCAAAGTGGAGTCATGTTGAGGATAAGATTCAGAGTGTGACCATGTGGATGAAGCACAGTGGAAGTGAGAGCATTGTAACATCAGGGAACCATGAGGGGCTACCGAGTGAGATACTGAAGTCATCTAGGATAGAGAGGACACCAAGATCATCATTGTAAATGCCCAGTATTGTGGTGTGAGTAACACAGATGGCATTTTGCCAGGAGTACTCACTCTGCTTCTCATCAACAGATACACTCAGCAGTGTGGTATAGTGACTTAGATATGTGTGCCACATTCCAGATCACTCTCCTTTATCTGATCCTCAGAACAAGTATGGGGAGTGTGTAGGATAGAGACCATTACCTTGCAGAAAGTAGCTCTCCTTGCTATTCATATGATTGCATTTCTTGTAAGATGTTTTCTGATGTGCTTATTGTTTGCCTTCAGTCCAAACCTCTACTGGGGATGTAGAATGGCATCTGAATCCAGGAATGTGGAGCTTCCCAGTGTCAATCATCCAGGTGGGTAGGGAGATTCCCCGGGTGAAGCCAGAGTTAAGTGAACCTTACAAAGGCATGAGAGTGAACCAGGGTGCCCTGCCACCCTCCCTCTTTCTCTCCCTGTCTCTCTAGCTCTTCCTCTTCCTCCTTTCTGTCATTCTCTCTCTCTCTCTCTCTCTCTCTCACTACAAATCTGGGTACTCCCCTGGGCACTCTGAAGTAGCAAGGGGAAGGCATTTTCATGTTAAAGTTGAGGATTCTAGGGCACCTGGATGGCTCAATCGGTTAAGCGTCTGCCTTCAGCTCAGGTCATGATCCCAGGGTCCTGGGATGGAGTCCCGCATCGGGCTCCCTGCTCGGCAGAGAGCCTGCTTCTCCCTCTCTGTCTGCCTCTCTGCCTACTTGTGCTCTCTCCCTTGATCTCTCTGTCAAATAAATAAATAAAATCTTTAAAAAAAAAAAAAGTTGAGGACTCTAGCTTACAAGTCAGATGATCTAATGATAGAGGGCTGTCTGCATTTATTTGCCTTCTCCTGTCCTGAGCCTGCCTTTATTTATTTGTTTGTTTGTTTGTTTGTTTGTTCATCAGTATTTATTGAGGTCCTACCATGCGTATGCATTTTTCTGAGGCTGGGAGCACAGTGGTAAACCAAACAGACAAAATCTCTGCTTTCAGGAAACTTATATTCCAGTAGGGAAGAGACAGACAATAAACATGAAAGTGAACAAGAATATATCACTAGTGGCAAGTGATCAGATACTAAGCCAATGAATATGATGGACGCTGACCAGGGAGCTATTCTAGCAAGGATGGACAGAGAAGGCCTCTCTCAGAAGATGACAATAGGCAGAGACCTCAGTGATAAGGAGAAGACAACCATGTGAAGATGGAGAATAGGGGAGCAGGTGGGGGAGGCATTCCAGATAGAGGGAATAGCTAATGTTACATCAGAAATGAGTGTGGTGTGTTTCAGGAGCAGAAAGGCTCCAGGGCTAAGCTGGAGCAGAGAGAGAAAGAGAGAGAGAGAGAGAGAGAGAAGTGTGAAGGGAGAAGAAGTCCAGTGAGCAGGGTCTGGATCTTATAAGGCTTGGTGGGGTTTGGGTTTTAATCTAAGTGTGATGGGAAGCCATTGGAGGTTTATAATCAAGAGAGTAATGGGTTATTTCTGTATTAAACAGCTCATATGGCTACTGTGTGGAGAGTAGATTAAAGGGGATGCTAAAGTAGAAGCAGAAAACCCACTTGGGAGACCACTGTAGTGGGCCAGGTAAGAGACAGTGGTAGCTTACAATCACAAGTATCAGGGGTAGAGAAGGTTTGAGATTTGGAAAACATTCTGGAGGTAGAACCTAGAGAATGTGCCAGTGGGTTGACTGAAATGTACCAAGATTGTGACTACTGAGGTAAGACCTAGTTTGGGGGCAGGAAGTCTGGAGCTCAGGGTGAATTCAGAACTGGAGATAAAAATTTGGGCATTGAGATGGTATTTTAAAGCTAATGGATGTGATGAGTTTATCTATAGAGGAGTTCTAGAAAGAGAAACAAAGAGTTCCCTGACCAGCCCCGACATTAGGGGTCTAGCCTTAAATAGTATGTTACTTAATATTAGAACCTGTCTCAGTCATACTATGGCAAAGAGAAAACTGTAAAATCCATGTTTTGTCCCCCTCCAGCCTCCTGCTGGTTTGGCCGCAGCAGACATAAGTGTGACAGACACAGGAGTAAGGTTAATTTCAGAGTCTGGACTCAGGTCCAGCTATCCCTGCCCAAGTGGAAAATCTCCTCCCATGGCCAACTTTAGAAGTAATGGATTTGAATTTAGTAAAGGAGTCAGCAGATTTTCCAAGTACATCCTGATTTTACATGTGGGAAAACCAAATCTCAGAATTTGGTTTGTGGAACTGATGCTCAAATCAAGTTGACTTCAAAGGTAGCATTTTGTACTAGTCATAATCTTTCCTCAACTCTATGGAGTATTTGACTCAGCTGACCATTTTCTCCCTTTGAAGTCTCTGTCTTGGCTTCATTACTCTTTTCTGGTTCTTCTCTTACCTCCCTGACCCCACTTTGAGTCTCCTTTGCTAGCTCTTCTTCCTGTTTTTTTTTCTTTTCACATTCTCTGCTCATTCACTGTGTCCCTACTTGAGTTACTTTGACTGTGTCCCCAGATTCACTTAACCACTTCTATTCTTATGATTTCCAAATCTATATGTGAAGCCCACTTGGAGAAAGCACAGACTTTCAATTGATTAGTCAAGTCTTGGCTCTGCCTCCAACTATGTCTTTAAACTTGGCCAATTTACAAACACTTCAGGCCTGAGTTTCTCCATTTGTACAGTGAGGAAATTGACTAGATGATTCTGAAGTTCCTCCCAGTGCTCACATTCAGATTCTAAACCTGCTGCTACTTTTAATGATCTTAATAGTAATAATGGCATTTATTGCCTATTCTTTGCCAGACACTGAGCCAAGTACTTTACAACACATTAATATATTTAATTTTCCTAACAAATTCCTCTGAGGTAGGAGCTATTTTTATGCTGATTTTATAGTTGAGGAAATGAAGATCCAGAAAATGTAATTTCCTACAAGTTTATAAGCAGTAAGTAGCAGAGCCAGGATTCAAACCCAGCCGATTTTAATCTGCAGTCGACATCATTTAGCCTCTAGTGTGTACTTCAAAGACCCTGCTTCCTGTATTGCTGTCCCACTGCTGCCTCGAGCACTTCTGCTCCTCTGAGACATGACTCCTTCTGCCCTGAAGCTGCTGTTCTTCCTCTCTTTACCTCCACTGGCGGTGTTCCTTCCTAAAGCAAAACAAAACCAAAACCAAAAATGAACGCCTTGCTAGGAACTGCCCTTCCTTCAGTCACTGCTTTAGCTCATCCTCGTCTTCCTGCACAGGTCACCTCCCCCGGAGCCTTTCCTGATCATCTTGGATAGATCCGTGTCCCACCTCCAGGCATCTCCAGGGATCTGTATTTGGGGAAGATTAAGTTTGAGATGCCCATTCGACATTAAAGTAGAGATGGCAAGTGGACATTTGAATATAGAATTCAGAGCTTAACTTTCAGAGGACCTACCACTCACTATTAGAAGTAACTTACATGTTTTTTTTCATTTTTGTGTGGCCGTCTCACGCAGAACAAGGACTGCATCTTGTTCACCGTTAGCAAAGAGTTAGTTGTGCAGAGGACTCGGAAGAACACGGAGTATTAGTTTCCTGGGCTGCTGTGATGCATTATCACAACCTGGGTGGCTTAGAAGAGCAGAAATTGATTCCCTCACAGTTCTGGAGGCCAGACATTGGGAATCAAGGTGTTGGCAGAGTGGTACTCCTTCTGGAGTCTCTAGGAGAGCATCCTTCTCCTCGTCCAGCTCCTGGTTAACGATCCGCATTCCTTGGCTTCTTAGGCTTGTGGCCACATCACTCCAATCTCGGGCTCTGTCTTCACAGAGCCTTCTCTTCTTCTGTATGGTTTCTCTTCTTCTGTCTCTTACAAGGATATTTGTCATTAGATTTAGGCTCTGCTCAGATAATCCAGAAGGATCTGGTCATAACATCCTTAATTTAATTACATCTGCAAACCTTCATCTTTTTACAAATAAGGTCACATCCACAGGTTGTGGGGATTTGGACATATCTTTTTGAGGCCCATCATTCAACCCACTACACAAGGGAACAGGAAGAAGTTCTGGAATGTCTGTCTCCATATCCACCCTTTCTCCCTTTATTTTAGCTATAACTTAAATTTCCTTCAAGATTCAGCTCAGTTGTTGCCCAGTCAAGGGAGCCATACTCCTAGGCCCAGAACATGCCCCTCCTAATATTCTGTTTTATTGTCCCTCTTCCCCAGTAGACCTCCCCCAGGCCATCGACCAAGACTTAGTCATCTCTCTGTCCCCAGCAAACACCATGGCACACCCAGGCTCTTTGTAAAAGCTGGTAGGTTGAATAAAAGACTGAACAAGAGATAGGTTGGCAAAAGACCAAGGAGGGTTTTGAGTATTAATTTAAGACATTTGGATTTTATCTTTTAGATCATGGATGTCCAATAGTTTTAAAGCTGAGAAGCAATAGGATGAACTTGTCTTTCAAATATATCCTCTCTTTGGGAGAAATCTCATCATCAAATATTGTTTTAATTATCACTTTGAAATGGGTCATTCCTTCCGAGCCTTCCTCCTGAGCTCTAGTCTCACATTGCCAGCATTTTGCTGTGTCTCTCCAGGCCCAAATTCAGTAGGTCCAGACTAGCCCTCATTACCCTTTCCTTCCCCCAAAGTCACTCTTCCTATATTATCAAGTTCACAGGCATCCAAACTAAACAACTTGAATTAACCCCAAATGCTTCCCTCACCCCCCGCTGCCAATTAGTAAGTCCTATCAACTCCATCTCCTGAAATTTATCTCAAATTCCTAGTCTTCTCTCTTCAACTCCAGTCCAATCCTCCTGCTCATCTTATAAGCCTAAAAACTAGATCCGATCATGCCATTCTTATGTTAAAACAATAACAAAAAAGCTCCAAAACAACTCTGCAATAGTTCTTCATTGCTTATAAGATCAAGGTCTTTAAGATCTACCTATAAAGATCTACCTTTCTTCCCTATTCATTCACTCAACACATGTGTGTTGAATGCCTACTGTGTATCTAGTACTGTGCTCACTGCATGTATACACTAGTGAGGGAAATGCCCCACACATATCTAGATGGGCATGGGTGTTCTTACTCGGACTATCTCATGTTGTAGGCAGTAAGGGCAGTACCCTAAGGGAAGATGCTACAGCTGGAAGGGCTTGATGGTGGCATCCTCACCTGTTTGCTTTCAGTTTATACTATAACTTTATTGGTATTTGTATGCTTTTTGAGTGGATTTACAGATTATATTATCTAGTTTTAAATTAATCTTCCCCAAGAGGGCAAATGATTTAAAAGAATTTAAAAGAATTCTCAAAAGAAACTACAAATTAAAGATAATACTAAATTTTAAGCCTAAGGGA